AAGTCTAACAAAGTTCAACTTTTGAAGTTCCTGTCATTTCCTCTTTATCAGTGTCTCCTCCTGCATCAGTCCTTTTTCAAGATGACTCCTGGGGGCTGGGCTCTGGGCTCTTTTCTCATAAGGGGTAGGAGTAGGGCAATAATCCCAGCCAGGGTTGTCCACACCTCCACCATGCTGGCAGCATCCCATCTGCCTATTCTCTCCCCTGTTGCAAGGAAAAGAAAGCAGACACGGGAAACATGCTCATCTGGTACCAACCTGGGCAGAGTCTGAGCCAAGTAAAAGAGAACAGGGTTGGTACTATCAGCCCCAGAAATATCTGGTCACAGTCCCAGGTGACAAGTATACTCAGCCAGAGACCCTAGAAGGGGAAACAGTCAGTGGGAAGGACTCCTCCCTTTGGAGGATTTTTTTTTTTGAGCTGTGCTGCTGTGTCATCCATCCACATTATTCTTGTCTGGCTGTAGATACTCTGCTTGCTCCCTGTCTGTGTTTGTCAAAGCTGTTTTTGTCAAAGCAAGAATGCACATATACTAGAGCTGTTCCTACTCTATAAACAATTCCATGTTTCCCTATACTTTTAAATTAATTCTTTTAATTATAAAAATAAAATGTTTCCTTTGAAAACATCTACATCTTGGTCAGTGAGATGGTTCAGTTGGTAGGGATGCCTGCTACCAAATCTGAAAGTTTGAGTTCAGTGTCTGAGACCCTCAGGGTAGAAGAAGAGAACCAACTCCTGCAGTTATTCTCTGACGTCCTCCAGATGTGTGCCATGGTATATATGCAAGAACGCACACACACACACACACACACACATACACACACACACATATGATAAATATACAGGAACACACACACAAGCTAAATATGCAGGTTGAATTCAATAATACTTCAAAAAGCGTATTCAGCATGATCAAGTTGGATTTATTCTAGATATACAAGGATAGTTCAAATACGTATAAATCAATAAATGTTATAAATTACACAGATGAACTCAAAGAAATCACCTTGTTATTCTCAGCAAACAAAGGCTTTTGATAAAATTCAACATCCCTACATGTTAATAGTCCTAAATAAACTCAGAATAGAAAGCACGTATCTCAACATTAATAAAGGCAATATACAACAAATCTATAGCCAATATTACATTGAATGGGGGAAAACTCAAAGCATTTCCACCAAAATCAGGAACAAGAAAGGGTGTTCAATTTCTCACTCTCATTCAGTATGGTGCTGGAAGTCTTATCTGTAGCAGTAAGACAAAAGAAGCAAATAAAAGGTTGCAAATAGGAAATGAAGTAAAAATATCTCTATATGCAGATGATGAGTCTATACATGAGTCCCTAAAGACCCTATCAGAAAACTCTAGAACTGATACTTTTTCAGCAAAGTGGCAGAACACAAAACAAAAAATTATTAGCCTTCCTATATGCCAATAACAAACAGAAAAAGAAAATAGAATCTCATTCACAATAGCCTAAAAATACCTTGTAATAAACTTATACTAGGATGTGAAAGAGCTCTATAATGAAAACTTTAAAGCACCAAGAAAGAAATTGAGGAAGACACTAGAAGCTGATGGAAAGACCTCTCATGCTCATGAATTGGAAGACTCAATATTGTGAAAATACTTATCCTACCCAAAGTGCTCTATAGATTCAATGCAATACCAATCAAAATGCCAGTGACATGTTCACAGAAATAAAGCAATCTTAAAATTCATATGGAAGCACAAGAGATCCTGGAAAGGCAAAGCAATCCTGAGCAGAAAGAACACTGCTGAAGGTAAACATACCCTATTTCAAGTTATACTACAGAGCCATAGTAATAAAAACAGCAAGTTTCTGGCGCAAAAACACACAGATCAATAGAATAAAATGGAGGACTCAGATATAAGGCCGCACAATTATTGCTACCTGATTTTTTTTTAACAAAGATGCCAAAAGATGTATATTGAAGAAAAGAAATGACATCTTCAACAAATGGTGTTGAGAAACTGAATATATACATGTAAAAAAATGAAACTAGGGCTGGAGAGATGGCTCAGCATTTAAGAACATCAGTTGTTCTTTCAGAAGACCTGGGTTCGAATCCCAGCATGCACATGGCAGCTAACAACTGCCCGTAACTCCAGTTCCAGGGGATCTGATGGCCCCTTCTGTCCTCTGAGGGCATTGCACAACATGGGTGCACTTACCTACATGTAGGCAATACATTCATACACAAAATAAAAATAAAAATATTTTTAAAAATTAAAATGAAACTAAATCCTCTCTCACTCCATACAAAAATCAACTCCAAATGGATCAAGAACCTCAACTTAAGATCTAAAACTCTGAAACTGCTACAGAAAAAAGTAGGGAATATACTTCAAGATACAGATATAGGTAAGGACTCGCAGAATAGGACACATCATTCAGAAAATAAGGCCAAATCAACAAATGGGATCTCATGAAATTAAAAGATTTCTGTACATCAGAGGAAACTGTCAATAGGATGAAGAGACAGTCTACAGAATGAGAGAAAATCTTTGCCAGCTATATATTTGATAGTGGATCAGTAGAATAGTATACATAGACATTATCTAAACATCAAGAAAACAACCCAAACAAAAAATGAGCCACAGGGACTGGAGAGATGGCTCAGTGGTTAAGAACACTGACTGTTCTTGCAGAAGACCCGGGTTCGAATCCCAGTACCCACATTGCAGCTAACAACTGTCTACTACTCCAGTTCTAGGGGATCTGATAAGCCTCTTCTGTCCTCAGAGAGTATTGCATGACACAGGTGCACTTACCTACATGCAGGCAATACACACATACATATAAAATTAAAAAAATTAAAATATTTAAAAAACGGGCCACAGAACTGAACAGAAAATTCTCAAAAGAAATACAAATGGTTAATACACATTTTTAAATTATTCAACATCATCAGCCATTAGGGAATGTAAATTAAAACTATTTTGAAATTCCACCTTATTTCTGCCAGAATATCTACCAAGAAAACAAATGCTGACAAAGATGGAGGGAAATGGGGATGCTTATCCACTGTTACTGGGAGTGTAAATTGCTGCAGCCAATATGGAAATCAATGTGGAAGTTTCTCAAAAAGGTAAAAACAGAACTACCATATGATCTAGCTATACCACTCTTAAACACAGACCCAAAGGACTTCACATCTTTCTACAGAGAAACTTGCACATTCATGTTCATTGATGTTCTATTCATAATAGCTATGAAATGGAATCAGCCTATCCCATGTCCATTAACTAATGTATGGATAATGAAAATGTGGTACATATACACAATGGAATTTTAGTTAAGCATAAAGAAAAATGAAATTATTAAATTTGCAGGAAATGAAGGTGGAATTATACTTAGTGAGGTAACCCAGGCACAGAAAGACAAGTGTCACACGTTCTTTCTCATATGTGGATCCTAGCTTCAAATTTTTAGATTTATGTGTTTAATTTGGAGTATCTTCAGAGGCAGGAGGCTAAAAGGGCACATGGGCAGAGGAAGGAAAGGGGCCCATAGAGGTAGGGGAGTAGAGCCA